GTTATAAGACCTAAGAGAAACAAACAAAATGACTTAAAAGGAATTATATTAAGAAATCCCTAGCTGTCCTGTCATCACAAGAGTACCAATTCCATCTGGCACAGACAATGTTGAATGTTTTTAGGATTATGGAAAGAAGGAAACAGTAATTTATTAACTGCCTACTATGTGCTAGGCACCAAGATAAGCACCTTATAAATATCTCATTTTATTCTCACAATAACCTGGAAGACAGGTGCTATTACTTTCCTCATTTTGGAAACAAGAAACCTGAGGCTTAAGTGACTTGCGCCAGTTTAGAGGCTACATCTGAACTCGGGTCTTCCTAACTCCAAGTTCAGTGTTCTTTCCACTGCACCACTCCTCTTAAAACACAGGGCCCAAGAATAGGCCATATAGTTGAATTATGTCAGGATTTTACTAAAATCATAAAAAATTATAGCTAAAAGAGATGTTACAGATTTTTTTTTAGTTGAGCTCTCATTTTATAGATAAGGGAAGAAGAGAGAAAGGAGGCTATAGAACACTGAGGCTTAAAGAGTATTGTCTCCATTGAAGTCATAGAACTAGTTAGCAGAACATACCCTATGATGAAGTAATCACACCTGAGGCAGGATGCCAGAACCCAGGTGCATCAATGAGAGTGACTCAGGCAGCCACTGGGAGCAGATGCTTCCAAAACCTTCTCAACACCACCATAATCAACAGGAGGGCTATATAAGGCAATGTCAGAAGGCTGGCTTCTACTAGTAATGTTGAGATAGGCCCAATTAGCTCTGGAGAAATCAGAGCATGCATATAGCACCCCAGAGGTAAAACTTGGTAAGTTAGGATTGGACCATGAATTCAGGGAATTTAATACCGTTGCCATCCCTTTCCATTCTCTTATCTGTGAATTAGAGCTATTCCCTGCAATTGCCTTCCACATAACTCAGAGCTCAGGAGGCTGATCATGTGTGTCTGTGTTAGGGGAAACAAGGATTGTCTTATCCATCTGTGGGTTATGGAAGCAAGCTGAGGCTATGAACCAGGCTTTTCAGGTAACAAAAGGAAAACAGTCTGTGAGATCTTGCTATTCAAGTTAAGTTATTTCAGTCATGTCTGACTCTTCTTGACCACATTTCTTGGCAGATACTGGAGTGTTTTGCCATTTCCTTCTCCAGCTCATTTTACAAATGAGGAAACTGAGGCAAACAGGGTTAAATGACTTGCCCAGGGTCACACAGCTAGTAAGTGTCTGCAGCCAGATTTGAACTCGTGAAAATGAGTCTTCCTGACCCCAGGCCTGACACTCTAACCACCGAGATGCTTAGCTGCTCAATATCTAGTCAGGATTTACTAATTGGCAGGTTCCTGAAACACACTCTTCTGAGGTGTGGACAATCTTTGACATGGATATAATAAACATTTATCAGGGAAGTGAAAAATCTCATAAAAATGAAACTGACTACATCTTAACAAAGAGGAAGTAGCTGATGGGTTGTATAGGTTGGACCAGATGATCACTTTCAAAATCTCAAATGCAGTGATTCTGTGATTGTAGACACAGCTGTCATTTTTTTTTTTTTGGTGAGGCAATTGGGGTTAAGTGACTTGCCCAGAGTCACACAGCTAGTAAGTGTTATATGTCTGAAGCTGGATTTGAACTCCAAGGCCAGCGCCCTATCCACTGTGCCACCTAGCTGCCTCACAGCTATCATTTTGGATCAGCTATTTGTGTGCAATTAGTTCACTGACTGATCAGGGCAAATGTGAAAAAAACAAACAAAAAATCCCCAAACAAAACACCCCCACCAAATTAGAAGAAAAAATAAAGATGAAAAGACTGCTCTCATAGCCTCCCTTTTTAGAGGGCTCAAAATGCCTGCCATCTCTTCATTTGCCACCTGCTGCTCTACTTGGTTTTAATTCCACCATCATCTACCATATCTCTCCTCTGCCCCTAGCCTCTGGTACTCTTGCCCCCTTTTCAGCTAACTTGTGTGGACTGTCATCCCCCAATAGAGACTTTAAGCTCCTTGCAGGGAAGGCTGTCTTTGATTTTTTTTTTTTATTTGTATCTCCAGAGCTTAATAAATGCATATCATATCATATGTGTGATTTCAGCAGCTCCAACCTAACTTTGACAAACTGTCAACTCCCTAAGAGAAAACATAAGAATAGGGGCAGCTAGGTGGCACAGTGGATAAGCTCCGACCTTGGAGTCAGGAGGGCTTGAGTTCAAATCTAGTCTCAGACACATGACACTAGCTGTGTGACCCTGGGCAAGTCACTTAACCCAGATAGCCTCACCAAAAAAGGCAAAAACAAAAAACAAAAAAACATAAGAATAAAGATATTGACTCTATCACCATTTCCTAAAGAAATGATGTAAAACAGATGCCATAACAAGGAGGCTAAAAGAGTACAGGAATCTCCTCATCCATCAAACATTCACTCTCCTGCCAAAGCAGAAATACATGACATTCAGGAGCAAAAATAGCTCTATGATACACTCATTTGCTAAACACTACAATGGAGGATCACTGAAGATTACAAGCATTATCACCTCACTGAACAGTGATAGAAATTTGAAGAAAGAGTAAATCTAAGAAGAGATTGGCATGAGACCCAAAGTGAGACGCAGCTTATCCTGAGAGGACCTACAGTCAAAAATGGAGGAAGAAAAACATACTGGCATAAAATGAAAAGAGATCTGAAGGAACAACCATATTTGGAAGACGTGGCAATGGTGTGTAAGGAACGAATTTGGGTAGAGCTGCTGCATTAGAGACAATGCTATCCCTAGCCCCACTCTTTCCCACCTCTCCTAAATTTGTTTTTAAAAAAAAGGAAAAAGAAAACCATTGTAATAAATATGCATAGTCAATCAAAATAAATTCCCACATCAGCTGTGTCTAAAACTGTCATACTGCATCTTGAGTCCATCACCTCTCAGTAAAGAGGTGAACAGCATGCTTCACCATTGGTCCTGTGGAATTGTAGTTGGTTGCTGCATTGATAAAAGTTATTAAGTCTGAAAATATACTCTTTACGTAGTCCTATGCACAGTTTGCTTTGGTTCTAAGACTCAATAGCAAGTTATTTTCATTGCAGCATGCTAAGGTTTAAAATGAGACTTTGAGGCATCATTTTAATACTGTTGCTTGAATGGGGAAAAAAAGGCATGGTTAGTTCAATACTGCAGCAAATTGGATCGAAATGACTTTGTGTCCTCTTGGGTAATGGGAGAAAGATTCTGTTGATTGGAATTAAAGCTTTAAATAGCCATTTCAGTAGCAGAACAAATAGTGGCAAGGTGAAGCAAAATAACAATATTTATATAGCATTTTATCTCATTTGATCTTCACAACAACCCTAAGTGATGGAAATATTATTAGTTTCATTTTAGAATGAAGCAATTAAGCCTCATAAAAAAAGAAGTGACTTTTCCCTTTTCACATTTGCCCTAGTAAATGATAAATAGAGAACTCAAACCTAGGTCTTTTGCCTATAAGGTTAATACTCATTCCACTGTTGCCAAAACTGGGGAAGCAGGAAAATGTATCTTTGGGACAGGAAGGCAGTAGTTGTAATCAGTGCTGTGATGAGGACAAAAGTGTTTCTCCTTCTTTGATGCTTTTTTGTTATTCATAGCTCATAAAAGCAGTCAGCCTAGGCTTTTGGGTTGGTATTCCTAAATTGGTCCATATGTTATAGGAAGGACTTCACAGAGAGGGCAAGAGACCATAGGAAGAGCCTATAGTAGCAGTAGGACAGTTTTGCAAATCTGGTTACCTATGGGATTTTCCATTTGTGACCCTGTTTGTGTTTCCTGGTGGTTTGTGTCCCTACAGAGACTTGTGTTGCAAACTTTACTAAATGGCTGGAGCTTAAGGCCAAAGTACCTAATTGATACATCAAAACCTTAGCAGAATTGATGTTAGCATCACTGACAATGTTTTCTGAGCTCGTCTATTTTTTCAGGCTTTCCCAGTTTGAGGATGGTATTTTCTAGAACAAGGATTCTTCTTAACCTTTTTTGTTGTTAGGGATCCCTCGGGCAGTCTGGTGAAACCGATTCCTCAGAATACTGTTTTTGGGGCAGCTAGGTAGTACAGTGGATAGAGCACCAGCCCTGGAGTCAGGAGGACCTGAGCACAAATCTGGCCTCAGACACTTGACACTTACTAGCTGTGTGATCCTGGGCAAGTCACTTAACCCCGATTGCCTCACCAAAAACCAAAAAAAAAAAAAAGTAATGTTTTTGAATGTATAAGATACAATACAAAGGAAACCAATAATATTGAAATACAGTTATCAAAATATTTTTTTAAAAAGTTACAGAACTCCTGATTTATAGGTGGGCACAATGACATAAGTAAACAATTAGAAACTTGAGAAGGATGGCGGAGACAGACTAAAAATTTATAATAAACAGACACAGGAACTCCAAAAGCATGGCAGCCTGGGGTCAATTAGCCCTACGTACCTCAGTAAACCCTGAATGCATCATTGAACTATAGCATAGCATAATATAATGCTGATTCATTGTCGTAAAAAAAAATGTTAAATGCTGTTCAATACACTCTGAGTAACAAGGCACAGAAATGTATGATATGTTAAATAAAGTTTTCTATTCAAAACAACTTGTTAAAAAAAAAAACAACAACACTTCAGAGTAGCTAAGTGGCACAGTGGATAGATCACCAGCCCTGGAGTCAGGAGGATCTGAGTTCAAATCCGGTCTCAGACACATAACACTTACTAGCTGTGTGACTCGGGACAAGTCACTTAAACCCAATTGCCTCACAAATAAAAAAAAACCTTTGCTCTTGAAGGACATAAGCTTCAGTTTCATGGAAAAAAATACATGCATTCCCTGACAATATCACATAAAATGGTCCCATAAAAACTGAAGCCAAAATCAGATGTAGGAGTAAGGGAAGGGAGGAAGGGGAAGACCACAGGTATTTGTTGTTTGGTTGAACAGTGTCCAGTCCGTACTTGAAACCACTTACCTGTGAATGTTATCTTCAAGTTTTTTAACTCTGAATTCATCTTCCTCAGACTGTCGCTTTCTAGCTTCCTCTTCTTCCGCAGTACCAGCTGGCACTCCTTGTAGCAGCCATTTTTCTCGGAGTGCTTTGGACTGTGGAAATGAGGGAAGAGAAAGGTGTTGAGATGAATTTCTCAAACTCACCACTTTCTTTTTATCTCTAGAGAGGGGGAGTCTCATTTTCAGAATCCTCTTTGGAGTGGGAAATTTATAGAAATTTATAACAGTTGCGTGGCCTGAACCTCCAGGCAAACACTGAGGAGGAAAAAAAAAATCTCTAACAGGACCTTGGAGACAGCTGTGTCCAGGGCTCAAAATTCACAGATGTTCATGTTGTGCTAATCCTCAAAGCTTTTGCTCTGGCGACAGGGTTAATCTAACCAGTCAGTCTTGTGGTTGTATCAGATCTCCAGTCTGGTACATCAGTGAACGTATTTCCTTGCCCTTGCTTCTTATAGAAATGGACGCCTGGCTCTTCAGTCTGGTTGGGTTTGTTAGGATTCTGCATGCGTTGGTTTCTCAAGGTTTTCCTGAACTCACTGTCCAAGGTCATAGAGGTAGTAAATAACCTGGCTGGGATTCAAAACTGGATCCACTATTCATCCAGCACTTCTTCCTTAGTAGCATGCTTATTAAAAATGGACCTATGTGGTTATGAGGTTGGGGTGAGGAGAAATTAAGCAAGCTGGTCAGAAGAAGGATGTTTGGTAATATATTGAGAAAAGACTGTTAGTTGCCAATGGATGTCTTTTAGGCAATCCCACTCCCTGGATTACACTATCTCCATCATTTTCTTCCCCTGAAACCTCTTTCCATTTGCTACACTCTTACTCTATCTGTCCTTGGTGCAAGAGGCTTCCAAATCTACAAATATAAAGCAACTAGCATAATCATAAAAGTTTAAAACCTTATTTTGGGTTATCTTCCTTGAGCATGCAAGATGGAGAGAAAAGGAGAGAACCTGTTTTTAGAACATTCATGTACCATATGATTCTTTGCATAGTGACATACACATCCAAGTTAAGTGCCTCATACAGCATCAGCTGATTTAGATCAATGTACTATAGACAAAGTACCCTGTTGGAAATGCAGACTGGTGGACATATGTAGTTTTAAATGCATGTGTGCACACTCTTTTACCACTCCCTCCTTTTGTGGCAATGATTTCATTCTGAAGTGGCACCAATAAAATTCTCAGTTCAGAGAGACAGGAAATGATGATCTAATAAAAAGAAATGTAGATCTGTCTCTGTGAAGGCTGTTGCGAAGGTGTTTTGACATCATGAAGAAAAAAAAGCACAGTTGTTTTCTTCTTCTGGGGGCCTGTCAAGGGAAATTAACAATTCAGACACATTTAACTTCAAAGGCTTCCTTAACCCATTGCAGATTTATTTTTTTAATTTTAGCAGGAGACTGACTGAGGCATCTGAAATATAACCACACTCAGGCACAGTGAACATGGGCAAGCACTGAAATAGCTTTGGATGGTAAAAAGGGGAACAATTTTCAGTTTGTATGGCAGCAGTGTGTGTGTGTGTGTATGTGTGTGTGTGTATACCAGCTGCCTCAGTTATCCAGGTTTCAATGGATTTAAGCAATGATGAAAATGGTAAAAAAAAAAGGCTTACATTAAGTTCATCTTTCAATTTTTACAGACTTAAAAACCTTATAAAGTAAATCTTTTCCAAAGAGCTCTCTAGATAATAAGTAAGATTGGAGCTAGGAAAGATTAGAGCTTTATATCAAACCATCTGTGTTTGTACAGCCCTGCCAGGTCCTTTCAGGGGAAAGCAAGTCCACAAATCCACCAGAAAGAACTTAGAAACAGCAGAAATTCATTGTAGAGAGGGCCATGGAATAGCTGCTTCTTCACTCCATGTGTCAATCCAACCTTGGATGGTGTGCGTGCCTATGTGTACATGTACGTTTGTGTAAAAGAAAGGGAATAGGAAGTGTGTGTGGGAGAAAGAGAGTGAGGGAGAGAGACAGAGACAGAGAGACAGAGACATAGAACGGATTCCAGTAGGACTTTGGTGACTCACTATAGGTTGCTTTTTTCCCCCTCAGTTAAGTCTGAACAAACACTATCCAGTTTGATGACCCATGAAGCCACACTTTATTAAGTACTGTTCCTAGAGTACGTGTAGAATGAGACCTATTTCTTCTAACACAACCAATAAGGGATTTTTCTTGTGCTTGACTATGCATGGAATTTTTTTTTTCTTTTTCCAATGGGGTGGACATCGGAGGGAGGGAAGGAGATAAAATTGATTTCTGCTCATTAAAAACATAAAACTTAATTAAACAAAACCTCAAACCACCTTAGAACCTGAGCAGACTGAGAACTAGCACTTCTGTGCCCCAAGGGTGCTAAAGAGCCTGTGCTTCTGTGGACTCAGAGACCAGGAGCTGAGTGCTAACTCAACCCAAAAGATTCTTTAGGGGAGTCTCATCCCCTGCCACTATGTGGAGAGAGGCTATGTGACTAACACCAGGGGTGAGTTGAGCACGGACTGAAGAACCTGAAAGAACTCCATACCACCTATACTCCCTATCCTATATCCCAAGCTTTCCTGTGTTTAGGTGAACCGGTTCTGAACACTGGTGCCACCAGCATCAGTGCCATATTCAGTCATTACAGGACCCTGGCAGGTGGAGGCCTTCGTCCTGCGGTGGGCAAACTCTGAGCTCCTCTTCCTCTTAATCCTTTGATTCAGTTCAGGTGCTGAGACAAAAAATGCCCTTCCCTTCCTACTTCCTCCTGGTTTTCCTCCTCAGTCCTACAGTCCATTTATGTCTCATTTCGTTGTGACCTCTGTAACCCCAGCTCTATTGCTAATAAACTCTTCTTCATTTTCTTGTCTTTACCTCATGCTTTCCCCCACCCCCAGTTTTTCAGCCAATG